GGAACAGCCGGCAGTCCCTGGAGGGCCTCTCGGTGCGCTCGGTGTTTTTCGGGGTGTTCCAGTCCCTGGTGGTTCTCCTGTACATCCTGGACAACGAGACCAACGTGGTTGTTCAGCTCAGCGTCCTGGTGGGGCTCCTCATCGACCTCTGGAAGATCACCAAGGTCATGGACGTGCGGGTGAGCCGGGGGAAAAACGGGGGAAAAACGGGGGAAAACGGGAATTCGGGAATGGGGGGCTCCGCAGGGGCTGGGGCTGGGGTTTGAGGGGTTAAATTGGGGCTTTTCCCAGAAAAAGTGGGATTTTGGGGGTTGAATTGGGATTTTTTTGGGGTTAAATTGGGATTTTCCCAGAAAAATTGGGATTTTTTGGGGTTAAATTGGGATTTTTCCCAGATAAATTGGGATTTTTTGGGGTTGAATTGGGATTTTTTTGGGGTTAAATTGGGATTTAAAGAGTTAAATTGGGATTTTTTGGGGTTGAATTGGGATTTTCCTAGTTAAATTGGGATTTTTTTGGGGTTAAATTGGGATTTTTTGGGATTAAATTGGGATTTTTTGGGGTTGAATTGGGATTTTCCCAAAGAGTTAAATTAGAATTTTCCCATGGGGGAAATTTGGGATTTTCCTGAGGGGTAAATTTGGGATTTTCCCATTTTCCCATGGATAAATTTGGGATTTTCCCATTTTCCCATGGATAAATTTGGGATTTTCCTGTGGATAAATTTGGGATTTTACCGTTTCCCATGGATAAATTGGGGATTTTCCCATGGATAAATTTGGGATTTTACTGTTTCCCATGGATAAATTGGGGATTTTCCCATGGATAAATTTGGGATTTTCCCATTTTCCCGTGGATAAATTTGGGATTTTCCCATTTTCCCATGGATAAATTGGGGATTTTCCCATGGATAAATTTGGGATTTTCCCGTTTTCCATGGATAAATTTGGGATTTTCCCATTTTCCCATGGGTAAATTTGGGATTTTCATGGATAAATTGGGGATTTTCCCGTTTCCCGTGGATAAATTTGGGATTTTCCCGTTTCCGTGGGTAAATTTGGGATTTTGCGGCTGTTTGGGGCAGCTGGAGCGGCAGCAGAAAGTGGCCGGGATCTTCCCCCGGCTGAGCCTCAAGGACAAATCCACCTACGTGGAATCCTCCACCAAGGTCTACGACGACGTGAGTCGGGAATCCGGGGCGGAATTCCGGGAATTCCCGCGGGAATCGCCCCAAATCGTCCCCGGGATGGGGGGGAATGGCAAAAGGATCCGGCCCGGAGCGGTGGGAAATGGACCCGGAATTCCTGGGAATGACCCCAAACTGACCCAAAATTCCTGGGAATGGCCCAAAATCAACGGGAAATGGACCTGGAATTCCTGGGAATGACCCCAAACTGACCCGGAATTCCTGGGAATGACCCCAAACTGACCCAAAATTCCTGGGAATGACCCCAAACTGACCCAAAATTCCTGGGAATGACCCCAAACTGACCCAAAACTCCCGGGAACGACCCCAAAACAACGGGAAATTCCCCCAAAATTCCCAGGAATGATCCCAAACCGACCCAAAACTCCTTGGAATGACCCCAAAACAACGGGAAATTCCCCCAAATCTCCCAGGAACGACCCCAAAATCGTGGGAAATCCCCCCGAATCTCCCAGGAAGGACCCCATCCCCCTCCCCTGCCCCTCCCCCCGCTCCCGGCCGTGTTTTCCCGGGCTTTGGGGATTTTTGGGATGCAATTCCCGCTTTTCCAGATGGCGTTCCGGTACCTGTCGTGGCTGCTGTTCCCGCTGCTGGGCTGCTACGCCGTCTACAGCCTGCTCTACCTGGAGCACAAGGGCTGGTACTCCTGGCTCCTGGGGATGCTCTACGGCTTCCTGCTCACATTCGGTGAGAATTCCCAAAAAAAAACACCGGGAAAAATCACCTGGAATGGTCCCAAAAATCCCCGGGAAAAATGGAAAATCCCCGGGGAAAATAAACCCAAAAAATCAAAAATCCCCGGGAAAAATGAAAAATCCCTGGTGCTCCTGGCTCCTGGGGATGCTCTACGGCTTCCTGCTCACATTCGGTGAGAATTCCCAAAAAAACTCCGGGAAAAACCGTCCGGGAAAATCCCCGGGAAAAATGGAAAATTCCCGGGAAAAATGGAGCCCAAATTGTCCCAAAAATCCCCGGGAAAAATGAAAAATTCCCGGGGAAAAATGAATCCCCTGGTGCTCCTGGCTCCTGGGGATGCTCTACGGCTTCCTGCTGACATTCGGTGAGAATTCCCAAAAAAAAACACCGGGAAAAATCACCTGGAATGGTCCCAAAAATCCCCGGGAAAAATGGAAAATCCCCGGGGAAAATAAACCCAAAAAATCCCGAAAATTCCTGGAAAAATCCCCGGGGAAAATGAATCCCCTGGTGCTCCTGGGGATGCTCTACGGCTTCCTGCTCACATTCGGTGAGAATTCCCAAAAAAACACCGGGAAAAACCGTCCGGAAAAATCCCCGGGAAAAATGGGACCCAAAAAATCCCGTAAACCCAAAAAATCCCAAAAATCCCCGGGAAAAATGAAAAATCCCTGGTGCTCCTGGCTCCTGGGGATGCTCTACGGCTTCCTGCTCACATTCGGTGAGAATTCCCAAAAAAAAACACCGGGAAAAACGGTCCGGGAAAATCCCCGGGAAAAATGGAAAATTCCCGGGAAAAATGGAGCCCAAATTGTCCCGAAAATCCCCGGGAAAAATGAAAAATTCCCGGGGAAAATGAATCCCCTGGTACTCCTGGCTCCTGGGGATGCTCTACGGCTTCCTGCTGACATTCAGTGAGAATTCCCAAAAAAAAACACCGGGAAAAATCACCTGGAATGGTCCCAAAAATCCCCGGGAAAAATAAACCCAAAAAATCCCGAAAATCCCTGGGGAAAAATGGAAAATTCCCGGGAAAAATGGAGCCCAAATTGTCCCAAAAATCCCCGGGAAAAATGGAAAATTCCCAGGGAAAAGAAACCCAAAAAAATCCCCCAAAAATTCCCAAAAATTCCCAAAAATTCCCAGAATTCCGGTTTTTCCCCCCAGGATTCATCACCATGACCCCCCAGCTGTTCATTAACTACAAGCTGCAGTCGGTGGCTCACCTGCCCTGGCGGATGCTCACCTACAAGGCCCTCAACACCTTCATCGACGACCTCTTCGCCTTCGTCATCAAGATGCCCATGATGTACAGGATAGGCTGCCTGAGGGACGGTACGGAGCCAAATCCCGGGAATTCCGGGAATTCCGGGAATTCTGGGAGGGATTTGGGGATTCTGGAGGAGATTTCGGGGCTCCAGGAGGGAGTTTTGGGGCTCTAAAGGGGAATTTTTGGGTTTTTTAAAGGGAATTTTTGAGGTGGAGGAGATTTCGGGGCTCCAGGAGGGAGTTTTGGGGCTCTAAAGGGGAATTTTTGGGTTTTTTAAAGGGAATTTTTGAGGTTTCTGAAGGGAGGTTTTGGGTTCTAGAAAGGAATTTTGGGATTCTGGGTGGGATTTGGGGATTCCGGAGGAGATTTCGGGGCTCCAGGAGGGAGTTTTGGGGTTCTAAAGGGGAATTTTTGGGGTTTTTCAAAGGGAATTTTTGGGGTTTTTCAAAGGGAATTTTTGGGGTTTCTGAAGGGAGGTTTTGGGTTCTAGAAAGGAATTTTGGGGATTCCAGGATGGGATTTTGTGGAATTTTGGGGATTCCAGGATGGGATTTTGGGATCTTGGATGGAATTTTGTGGAAATTTGGGATTCTGGGTGGGATTTTGGGGATTCCAGGAGGGAGTTGGGGACTTTCAGCGGGAATTTGGGGGTTCCAGTGGGAATTTGGGGTTTCCAGCGGGAATTTGGGGTTTCCGGCGGGAATTCGGTGTTTTTGGCGGGAATTCGTTGTTTTTGGTGGGAATTTGGGGTTTCCGGCGGGGATTTGGTGTTTTTGGCAGGAATTCGGGGTTTCCAGCAGGAATTTGATGTTTTTAGCGGGAATTTGGGGTTTTTAGTGAGAATTTGTTGTTTTTGGTGGGAATTGGGGGTTTCCAGCGGGAATTTGGTGTTTTTAGCAGGAATTTGATGTTTTTGGCGGGAATTCGTTGTTTTTGGCGGGAATTTGGGGTTTTTGGCGGGAATTCCCCCGTCCCTTTGGGGAATTCCGC